AAAAGTGATTATCTTTTCTGATTTTAATATAGTTCCCATTAAGTATAGCTACTTCCACTTAAGACTAACATTTCAGCTGGGGATTTAGCTCAGTGGTTCTGGTGCCTGCCTTGCAAGTGCAAGGTCCTGAGTTCGATCCATGGTACCAAAAACAAAACAAAAGGCTAACATTTCAGTTTCATCTTATCTGAATTGCAGTAGCTGCCATCATGTATGGAATGTGTAATGTGTGAAGCTACTTCCTCCCCTGGAAGTAACACAGCCTATAGCAAGTTTACAAAATTTATGTAGCTGGAACACACTGAATAGGCACCACATCATGTGGGCTGTACAGATACAAGCCATGGATGCAGCTCTCTTGTTCTTCCTTCTAAATGCAGTAATTTGTAACTGCCTACTTGTCAGCGCCATTCTTTTAAATGATGTTGGTTCACAGTGAGTTCAGCTTGGGAGCCATAATAATATCCTACTCATTATAAATTTAGCATATACATCTAGCTTTGCTTTCCAAGGCACATTTGATACATTATTGGACTGCTCCTCTAACGATAGAAAAGTTAACAAATGAGTTGGGAAATTACATGTCAATTTAACTAATCTAATTAATGTCACAGTTATTGCCTCTGTGAAGATTGCCCATAGAACTGTAAAACTAATTATTTGCGCCACCTAATTGGCAACAGAAAAATGGTGCACAGATGAACAAGCTAGTGTTGGATTAAAAGTTTTGTCAGGAGTTTAACTTGGGTTGCATGAACTGAGGTGAACTGGGACCTATTCAGTTCGTCGATAATGTTAAAATGAAGTAGAAGAAACTACTACAAAAGGTGACAAGTTAACACAAGGTGGAAAAGCCATAGAGTTTGACCCCCAAAGGGCAAAAATGAAATAAAAAACCCACTTCTGACTGATATATACCTCCTGGAATTTTTTTTTTTTTTTTTTTTTGGTGCTGGGGATCAAACTTGGGTCCTTCCGCTTGTGAGGCAGGCGCCGGAACCACTGAGCTAAATCAACCGGCCAAAAATCTGGGGGGTTTCTTTCTTTCTTTCTTTTTTTTTTTTTGTACCAGGGATTGAGCTCAGGACCTCACACTTGCATGGCAGGCGCCAGAACCACAGAGCCAAATCCCCAGCTGGAATTCTTAGCTTTTTTAATGTTTTGTAATAAAGTAAGGTCTGAAAACAAAAGGGACTATAGGGCTGGGGATTTAGCTCCATGGTTTCGGTGCCTGCCCCACAAGCAGAAGGACCAGAGTTCAATCCCAGTACCAAAAAAAAAAAAAAAAGAGAGAGAGAGAAAGGATTATCCACCAATTTTTGGCAAAAGAAGTGAAAAAGAGTGATACACATTTGCAGTTATAAAGATCTGTTTAGCTGCTTTGTGGTGGATGGATTAGAGGACCATAAGTGTGGTAGTGGGGATCCCAGTCTTCCAGGTGATAGGTAATTGTGGAAAGTAGGTGGATCGGATAGATCTTTAATTATAAACAATAATGCTTCGTGATTAATAGGGTGTCAGAGGAGAGAAAGTCAAAGGTACCTGTCAATTGTGGCTAGAGTTTCCACAAAGCCCTTAAGTAGACACCAACGGAAAACCTCAAGGCTTTGTAATATATCCACTAACAAGGGGAGGTTATGCTGGTGCTGGCATTACAGCTGGGTGCTGTGGTTCACTGAGTGCACTGATGGGCACTGACATAAAGCAGTGTGTTCCACTGTAATAACCTTATCTGGAGAATATTTTACTAGAGTGGTTCTTATGCCTATTATACCCTTAAACATGCCTCCAGGAAACACAGGGAACCAATGAGATCAGTCTACCTACCTGCTTACCTCATTTTTACACTTCACACAGCTGATATACTGCTTTCGAAAAAAATCAAAGCAAAAGTAACTGAACTGGGTGCTAGAATGTGGCTCACTGGTAAAGTGATTGGCTAGCATAAACAAGGCCTTGGGTTTGATTCCTACCACTCAAAAAAAGGGGCTGGGATGGGGGTGGAACTGGACTTTTGTTCTTGTTTCTGGGTTGAACAATTGACTATGCAGTTGGTGTTTCTATTGAGATGAGAAACATGGAAGTCTAAGCTTCATTGTTGGTTTTGTCGTAGTATCATAATATGTACAATTATTGTAGCTGTAAGGAAGGTAAAGAAAATCAGTTCTGAACATTCTGACTTTGAGGTCTAATTTTCCAAAGGGAAACAAGATTAGGAGCTCGCAGGATTAAGATCCCCCTCAGTTACAGGCTAAAGATAAAAATGTGAGAAATCACAGGCATGGATGAGATCACCTAGGGGGAGAGTAGAGGTAGAATATATCCAGGAAATAAATTTGAGAAGAACACATACGCAACAGTTAAGAATACTAAGTAGAGGGGCTGGGATGTAGCTCAGTGGTTCCAGCACCTGCCTTGCAAGTACAAGGTCCTGAGTTTGATCCCGGTACCAAAAAAAAGAATACTGAGTAGGCTGCAAAGACTGTTGTATGCATCAGAATAGGTAGGAGAAACATGGTGTCTGAATATCAAGCATATTTTAAGGAGACTGTGATCAACAGTGTGAAATGCTCCTAACAGTCGTGTAAAATGAAAAGTGTCCATTGGGTTTGGCAACCACAGGTTACTGATGGCATTAGTCAGCTGTTTTGGTAGAGTCATGGTGGCTAATCATGAATGTAAATAGTTTAAGTGTGTCTGGAAGTGGGAGAGAGAACACCAAGTACAGAATCTTTGAGAAGTTTAACCTTGAAGGGGGTGGGGGGAGAAACCGAGAGGTTTTAAAGCAACATTTTACAAAGACAGGAAAAAAGAAAGAGCAAAGTAGTAATAGCATCGTGTTAATTTTTACTCAAATTAATTCCTCAAGCATTTGTTGATTGCATGAAGGACCCAGGATAAAGAACAGAGAATTGAGAGATGAGTAAAAGAGGGGAGAGAGACAGATAATTACTGCAAGGGAGGTATAATAGTAGATGGATTAGATTTAGTTGTAGTGAGGACAGGAGCAGAGAGCTTGCTTATTAGGAAGGAGAACAGAGAAGCTGTAAAAGTGATTTTTGAATGGAGCTAAGTGAGTTAAGTGTTTGCTAAAATGACTATAAGAAAGATAGTTCAGGCAGATAGCATATTTTATTGGAAAACAAGTAGCCTTTAAAGAGCATGGGTTCTAAGAATCATTGCCTATATTTTAAATCTTGCATCCCTCATTACCAACTCTGTGACTTTGGGTAATCACCATAGCTCTGCAAAGCTACAATTAACTCATCTATAACAATAAAGACTCAATCTCCAGCACTTAAAAAAAAGCTAATTTCTTTCCCATAGACTTTAGGAAGGCTGAAAAGCTGTGACAGTGAATTCAGTATCTAGCACAAAGCAAACACTCAATACATGTAAACTCTTATTACAGAATTTAAAATGCAAAATGAAGAGCAGGCTATGAAGCTAAAGAAAGTAATCAGGGGCCAAATCATGACAGATTTGTCAGCAAAGTCAGTACTGTTCCCAGCATTAATTAAAATAAACTAGTGTGATTATTAGGAAACCATTAAACTGAAGTTGGGGTTAATTCCACTAAAAAATAGTCTTCAGGAAGTATCTTAATTATAATCTTCTGTTGATGAAGCCTAGGGCGACAGGTATGTACAAGTACCTTAGAGTCTGCTAATAGGCTGAGCCTGCTACCTCTAATTGTGCAATTTGCAAATATTTTTTATATTACCACATCCTATAATACAATGCATTATTTTCCATTAAGATTATGGCTAAAGTTCAGTTTAATATTTTCTCTTTATCTTTCTGTATTTTTATTTATTATTTTGTGGGTTTTTTTGGAGACAGGGTCTCACCATGTGCCTGGAACTTACTATGTATCTCAGGCTGCTCTAGAACTTGATGTGCTCCGCTTGCCTTGGCCTCCTAAGTACAGTACTGGGATTATAGGTGTGCATCGCCATGTCTGGCTTCATGCTTCTGTATTTTTAAAGATGAACTGGTAACATGGTAATACTTTGAATGGATTAGAAAAAACTATTTTATGGGTTGGGATGCAGCTCAGTTTTAGAGTGCATCCCTAGCACCAAGGTGGGGTGTGAGATAGCTATTTCAACCCTTCCACCCAAATAACAACGAAACACTGATCCTAAAGTGCAGTAGACCTTCAGAATTTGGCAAAGGCATTTTAAGGGTAATCAGACTCCATAAAGAGCTACAGATAGATCTAAGGATACTCGCATGGGAAACTGCAGCCTCTATCCTTTCGTCATAGTTTGAAATGGACAGTGGTTTTCTTAGTCCAAAAAGTCAGCATTTTATCTTTTAAATTCTTATTGTGAGCAAGTAGTTTCCTCTTTGGAAGAGATCTTACAAGAACAAGAACTTCTTACAAGAAAAGTACTCTTTTTGTGGGCAGAATTTTTGCCTTGAAAAGTTTATTTCTGGGTCACTTCTGCTTAGAGTACTTAATCTGTGACCCAGGACACAGTACAAGTGCACATGGCTGAATCAAACGTTTCAGGAGATAATTATTCACTGTCCACGATGCCTCTGTTCTTATTCCATTTCATAGAGAAAAAAAAAAAAAGCTAGCACACGTACCAGTATCCTTTCTAGGTAGCAGCCTACTAGACTGGTTTTACAATCATTAATGGGTGTTTAGAAACAGACTCCTCCACTAGTCTTGGCTGCAGCTACATCTGTCACAGTTCTTTCAAAGTGTGTCATGCAGCTCGGAAGGCGGCTTTGTCACCGAACCGCAGCAGCGCTTCGCCGCCACAGGAAGGCGCGTTTTTCTCTTCCGTGCAGCCACACCAACTCTTCCCTCGGTGGATGATGTAGGACTCCATCCACTTCCCTGCTCTCCCTCTTCCCGGACGCCGTCCCCACCCCCGCCCCCTTCTTCTCGCCCGGGCGAATTTAGTTTCTCCCCTGCCTAGCAGGCAGAGCGCCGAGTAATCGATGCTCCCTCCACGTCTGAGTGCCGCCATCTTGGGGGGGGTCGGGAGGGCTGACACATGTAAATGCAGGCGAGGCTCAAAGGGATGCTGGCTGGATTTTGCTTCTCTTTCCATCACTGTGGGGCCGGGTAGCGGAATCCACCGGGGCCCCTCCTCTGGCTGCCTTTCCGGAATGAGGCCTCGGTGCCCGCGAGGGACTATCCCCTCCTTCCCACCGTGAGTGCGTTCCCATGCGCGCCCTCTGCTGTCCGTTACCCGCGCGCCCCCGGCCGCGCGCGCCGCTCTCCGGGTCCCTCCCCCGCCCGCACCCCAGCGTGCCCGGCGCAGACGCGCTTGTTTGTTTCTGCAGGAGCTCAAGGAGAGAACGTAGCCGAGACGATGCCCGGGAAGCTGAAGGTGAAAATCGTGGCCGGACGCCATTTGCCTGTGATGGACCGTGCTAGTGACCTGACTGATGCCTTTGTGGAGGTTGGTGCAGGGTCCTGCCCCTCAAAACCCAGGGCACGCCAAGCCCTGTGAAGGATCTACCCACCTCGTTCGCAGCCCTTCAGCCCGTTTCCCCGTCCAGCCCTCCCTAGAGGGAAGCCGCCGAGTCCGCAGCCCATGTGGTGGGTGCACGGGCTTAGCTCTGCATGCCGGGTGACCCTGGTGTCAGGACTCAGAAGGCCACCCGCGGGGCAGGAGGTCCCCAGGCGTGCCTGCGCGGCCACAGCAACACAGAGGTTCATTCTTAGAGGAGGGGTAGCTTTTCACGCTGGAGGGATGGACGTCGGTTTAAGAAAGTACCGTACACACAGCCCTTTACGGGGTATTGAGAGTTCCCTACAGTGCGAAGCTATCCACCCTTTAGCCGAACATGTTCCGATTCATCCTTGTGAGTTCCAAGCACAACTGTAACACTTGCTGCTGCTCTTGTATAAACTGGTAGATCCGGTGAACAGTTTCTGAATAATTTAGTGCCTTGAGGTAGGAAGTCAAGTGCCTTAGATTTAAATTGAAAATTGCTTTATAAGTCTAATGATTAGTTTAAAAGTCATGTAAATTAGCGTAAGCCTACGCCCCGGAAAGTAAAAACTCTAAGTCTGAAAGAAGCCAAGACAAAACTGCAATAAAAGTCGACATGATAATCCAGAGCATTAGAGCAATAATCAGTTTAGAGCTGATTGATACACAATAACATATGACCTGATTTCATCTCAGTATAAGATATCCTTGATGTTCCTTAAAGGTTCTCTAACCTGATTAACTGCATTCTCTCATTGTTATGGTAATTCTTAATCCCCTTATTTCCAGGAAAATTCTGTGTGCTCCTGGGCTAGATGTTAGGTAATACAGATGCACAGATAACCAAAGCATGTATTTACTCTAGCATAGCTCAGAGATTGACCCACACAGTTTATATTAAAAACTGTTAGCTAACATGTATTGAATTTTATTTATTATTGCCATATCTGCTAAGTACTTATTAATATTTAGTCCTCACAACAGTTCTGCTATTGTATTGTTACCCTGTATTATAGATGAGGTAACCGGCCTAGGGATGGTAATAATTTGCCTAAGGTTACTTAGTTTGTAAATCTGCATAGTTTGGCAATCCATTCTGGTAACCATTATGCTAATATTGCCTCTCCTTGAAAGATGTTACATGGAAATAGAAACTTAATTCTGTCTCTGAAGGTTTAGGAAGACTTCCCCAAGAAATGACATTTGAACGGGGGCTTGAGGGACACCCAGAATTTTATCAGGTAAAGGATACATCAAGTGCAGAGGCATAGGATGCAATACATGGAGCCATCTTAGTTTTAGACATGACTGGAATAAAAGGTATGTGGGTAATACAGTCTTGTGGGATGAGGCGGGAGACGTATGTTGGATTCATATCTTTTCTATTTTATTTTTCCTTTATAAGCAGAGGTAAACCAGAAGAGCTTTCTTCAGCAGAAAATAAATAAGATCATGTTTGTATTAGGCTGTTTCTTTATAAGATGACCTGAGGGATTATGTTCTTAATGTCCTGGACTGATGAGAAGTGAGGTAGGGAAGAGTAGTTAAGAAGGTGGTAAAATTATTCAGGCATATATGGGAATGGGAATAGATGAAAAAATATTTGAGGAATATTTCTTAGGCATTATAACCAAATGGATTTTGGTAGTGAGGGAAGGATGGGTTCAAGGGTGACTCTTTCATTCCTTCTTTCAATAAATAGTTACTGAGTGTCTGCTGTTTGCCTGGCCCCAATTACAAGCTGTGATGGGTGTCACGAAAGAAAATAATAGGAAAAGAATAACGGAACAGCTGCCTTAGTTTGAATAATCAGGTTGAGTCTCCATCAAGCAAAGACCTGTCGCATAAGGAGCTGGCTGCTTCAGGAGTATGTTTGCTTGTGGTAGTGGTACTGGTGGGGTAGAGCAAGGGAGCAGAAGGGAAGCTGGAGGTCAAGAGTCTAATAGAGGGAAGACCCTGAGGAGACTGGTATGTTTGGGAAGTGAAGAAAGATGTGTGGCTGTCACGTAATGGTGAAAGGGAGGGTGGTGTGAGATAAATTTGGCCAATTAGTCCAGTAGCCAGTTGTGTAAGACTTTACATGCCATGGTTAGGAATTGAAATTTTATGCTAAATTCTGTGGGAAACAGTTGTTAAATGAGTACTTTTATGGTTATGTAGAGAATGGATTGAAGGGGAAAGAGTGAAAGGCCCCTAGTTAGGAGGTTCTGTTATAGTTCAAATAACGTGGTAAAGGCTAAGGTGATGTTTGGTAGTGGACAGAAGAGGATGAATTCCAGATATATTTTGAGAGTAGACTAGAGGATTTGTTGGTAGATTGGAGTAAGGGATCAGGAAAGGAAAACTAAAGAATGATTCCTAGCTTTTTGGAGTTGGTGGGGTAATTTTCTGAGACTCCACAGGGATGATAGAGATTGAGGGAGAATCAGTTTCTATTTGGAGAGTTGAGATGTCCTTAGGACTTTTATTTGGAATTGTCCGGGAGTCAACTGGATTTGTGACTATGTTGTTCAAATGAGAAGTCTGAGTTACATGTGAGTTCACACTGCCCAGTGTTTCTCAACCCTGTGAGGCTCAGCAACTGTTTTATAGGACATATTTTGAGATATACCTTTAAATATTCTGGCATAGTTATAGCTAATATGATTTCTCTATACTCAAGATAAATCAATGCAGTGCTGTAATCATAACAGAAGTAATATTTATTGTTACAATTTCAGTATAGAAGTGCTTGTTTATGCCCATAGTAGAAAACTTGAAGACTCGGATTGAGTCAATAGATATTTATTGAGCCCTGTGTTACATACTGTAGTGGGTGCTGGGGACATAGCAATGAATAAAGCAAAATTTTTGTTAGTCGTGGAATTTAACTTTTACAGGTTCACAAACAAGATTCTTAAGAGATTCAATATGCTAGATGTTGAGAAGTGTGCATGAAGAGAAAAGGTCTGGATCCTGGGGGCTGATCAGACCCTCAGCTACCTTTCGGAGGATCAACGAGGAATAAAAGAAACAGACAGACAATTTTCAAGATATAAATGGGGAACTGGCAGGAGACTTGCCTCTAGTGGACAGAGTCAATAAAACTCTGCGTTGGCCCACTTTTATTAGCCAGTGAGGAGTGCAGGGAGGGGTAGCACTTGTTTTATAGAACAGCAGCTGTAGAGAATGAGTGGATAAGGATTAAGTTAATGAGGAGCCAGCTTTTCTCTACACCTAAATGCCTGTATGTTGACAGCTGCCCTCAACAGATGCTGTCTTGCCTCAGGAGTGCTGGGTTATCCACAGTCCTACCATAGCCAGGGGACTTGTAGTCTTCAGCATACTTCAGCATTCCCTGTTGTGGAGGCAAGATAACACTGGTCTGGGGAGTTAGGCAGCCTAGTCCCCAACACCTGGCTGTGGGTTAGAGAGTGCCTTACCTATGTGTAAAATCACACGAATATGACCACTTTCCACAGAGTGAGACAGTTGCGTAGTTTTGGCATGTCAGATCCTCATTGTTTCTGGTAATCTGATTTTCTAAAATAGTAAATTCATCAGAAAAACTTGTCTCTTAATTTGCATGATGACAGCGGTTCTTGACAGTTGTGTATAGTGCAACTGTATCGCTATACTTTGAGCTGTAAAGATTAGGTTTTTGGTAGATTGTTTACTTACATGACCATCTGAGGAATATTTGAAAGTCATGACATGGAGTAAATCTTCATTTCTGGGACTCTTGTATTACAGGAAACCTAGTGTCTCTGACCTTTCCTCACCAAATACTGCACTCCCCCACCCTCCCATTCTAAGACAAGTTTCTAAACCTGTCTTAGAATTTAGTTCTTTCCCTTTTGCAAACCTTTTACTGAAGGGGAGAGAAAAATTGTTTAGCTCCTTTGAAAAACTTGACATTGAGAGGTATTTTAGAGGAGGAGTAGGGGAAGGGACCTGAGATCATCAGCTACTGGGTAGAAGAAAAATTAGGAAAGTGATGTCTTAGGAGGCCAAAGACGAAGTTTCTAGAAAGAGGAAACCCTCATCTATCAAATGGCACTGAGAGGTTAAGTAAAAGGAGGAAGAAATCACTGGATTAGAAAATACGGAACAAGTTAGGCAGCTGTTTCAAGTATGTCTGTGAAGGAGAATGGGAAAGAATAGTATGATGCTTGAGTTGGTAGCTTTTTGTATTTTTTTTTTTTTTTTTAGTACCAAGAATTGAACTGAGGGCCTTGCACTTGGCAGGCAGGCATGGTGCCACGGAGCTACATCCCTGGCCCTTTTCTATTTCTTAAAATTTATTTTTACTAGTACATGTTTGCAGAACATATTTTTTTAAAAGATGAGTTAGAAGATACCAGAACGAACATATTTGTGTGGTAATAGAATAATCCAGCTCAAAGAGGAAAACTAAAGCAGGAAAAAGGGGATAATAAAGGATTATAATATAATAAAGGGATTAATTGAATAATGTAGACCATAACTAATATAAGCTCATAGGAGAAGGAGGAAATGAAACTTAGGCTAATTATGAAAACTTTCCTTCTTTCTTTTCTTTTTTTTCTTTTTTTGAAACACAGGCTCCCTATATTGCCATGCCTGGTCTCAAAACTCCTGGGCTCAAATGATCCTTCTGTCTTAGCCTCCCAAGCAGTGGGATTACAGGTGTGTACCACAACTCCTAGCTAGTTATGAAAAATCTTTGTGTTGAGACTGGAGAATGGTAAAATTTCCGTAGGCACCGCCTACCCCAAGCATTTTTCAGGTGAATAAGATAAAACTTGGTGAAAACAAAAGGAAGGATAGAGCACATGTGATTGAAAGGAGGACTCTTGATGAATAGAGTAGGAAATACAGGTAAATATGGGTAAAGGGATACAGATTCCTGAGTAGTCTTAAAATTAGGGGAAGTCGTTTATATAGTAGAAGCTCCCTTAGCCAGCTTCCCTTGACTGACTCATCACAGTCCCCAGTGCCCTACG